AAAAAAAAAAGAGAAAGGGGGGAAATTTTTTTTCGGGGGGGGGGAGGGAAACACCCAACATTTTTATCTTTTTTTGGAAATAAATATAGCCTATATTGTTCAGAGACAATGTAGGTTTTTAATCGATTCAGTTTTGAAATTATGCCTTTCAAACATTTTTTTTAATATTAGTATAGATAGATATATATGCATATTTTTTTTAATAAATCCCCCATTATCAAATATGTCAGTAAGATGACTAGCACAAGAGGTAGATGTGGTGTGTCATAAATATCATGAGAATATTTCCGGAGCACCATCAGGCCTAGTTCAAGTAAAGTTATTTTTTTAGAAAAAGGGAGAATAGAATAGGCCGCAGATCGTCTGATCGCGTGGTTACTAGGCTGGGGTCCTTCATATAAAATAACGCCTAAAAGAAATCTCTGTAGTAGCATTAAATTCTAAAAGAAATCAGTTGACAGCCCTATATATGTAAGTGGGTCAAACGTGGTCGGGGTGACAACGCGTACATAGAATTAACTGCACTGCGAAAGTAAATAAACGCTACAACAATTAGATTCTATGTTTGCGAGCTTTTATAAAAGGAATTTTTATGCTTCATGCTTTTGAAAACTGCGTACAATTGTTCTATTTGTTTGACATGTGGATAACAGATCTCTCTTCTGGAGTAGAGTTTTGCAGTTGAATATTTTTTGTTTAGTGGTCAGACTTCAATTGCAGTAGTGAACATCAGTCAGCCATTGACTCACATATATTTTTGTAGCTAGAAATTGAATTGAAAAATGAAAATGAAAAAATAAGGATGTAAACTATAGTCCAGGTGATTTATCTAAATAAATTAGTGTCAAGTTTATTAAAATAGGTCAGTATTAAACTATGTTACGAACTACCTGTATGAACTACCGGACCGATGAAAATTATTACACCACTGTAATATAAGTATGAAAACATTTATAATTATTGAAAATAGATAAATAGAAAATTAAAACAAATTTAATAAGTGTGATTCCTGGGGCAGTACCTTTAGTGTACCTTTAATTCTGGCTTTCCTCGCTGTATTGCTATACTTATTCGTTGAGTAAAGCATCAGTTCTGTGGCACCGGTAGCACCAGACGACAAATTAAATCTTTAATGAGCGCCTGTGCACTTGAACCCCACGGTCCAAGAGCCTACTCCAAAGGAAACGAAATCAATGCTTTAGGAATTACTTAAATTTGAGCCGTTCTATGAGCCGGCTCTGCCGGCGCACCAGCTTTTGTGCTTGTCCGAGAGAGGTGAGGCGGGGCTAACGTGTCCACAAGTGGCATTACATGCCAAACCCTATCTTTCCAAGGGATCAATTTTTAAAATAAAAGACTAATATACCTAATATATAAATATAAAGAATTAGTTTCTTAAAATAAACACGTTAATTAGAATACAAAAATTGTTAAAATGCACCCCGGGATCAAATCGTTAAAGGGACGGCATAAATATTAAAAGCTATAGAAACTTGATGCGCATACTCGTGGGCAATAAAACCCAGCATTAAGTTTTCATCCAAGAAACTAGAGATACAGTCACTTATGTTTTAAGTTAGGCATACAAGGAGCGACTTTATAGTTGCGCGATGGTCGCATAGAGAACGATATCGTATAATTATGTTTATTATCCTATTATTAAGAAGATTTTTTAAATTTAATTAAAAATGTATTTATTAACACTTTGTTCCATTAAATATTCGGTAAAAAACTGTATTTAAAAATAAAATTACAGATGTAAAACAATTACTTAGCTTATTGTTTATAAAATACATCTTAAACAAAAGCTTTACGCGAAAGCTTTTAATGTAATTTTAAGTTATTTATATTCATATTTAATGTATTGAATGAAATCGTTAGGAAAATTACCAGAGCATAAAATCTCATTAAAAATGTAACCTATCATTAAAATATTAACTAACATCTGTAAGTGCTACCTATCGGAAGTAAGAGACCACAACATCTCATCGTGTATGAGAAGCTTAAGCCGCAGAGAGCTTTTCAAGAACATATTTCACATTTACGATCGACTCGTAAAATTTTAAAAGCTTATCATACAGGTGTTGTTGATTATACTTTGACAGACATTTTATTAGCTTCGCAAAGTCTTGGATATTTAAATGTCATTATATACAATATAGAAAATAACATGCATTTTTGTTTAAAAATATTACATACTAAATATAGATTTAAAAGTAATTAATACATTCATTAAAAAAACTGTGTACAGAATTTCGAGGATTTAGAAAAGTTTAGATTTCGAAAATTTATTTTCTATAATGTTTTTTTTTCGGTTTTCTTTTAAACCAATTGGGTTCGAAATTCATAATTACATCAAGCGCCTCAGTAAACATATGGTCCAAGATCCCAGGGCCGCCAGACGTCACGTATTTTCTGACGGATGAAATGTGGACGATTGGGTAGTGTTAGATGTACTATGATCGTATGCCTACCTGTGCTTGGTCAAACGGCCAATTTCCAAGTATCAGGTAATCAAGGTACACAAAAACATTACTTACTTCACGTAAATTCTCATGGCTGATTTTTATATATGTTTTCGAGTGTATAGTTAAAAATAAATTGTCAATACTCCCAGACACTTTCCGTCGGCCATATTGCTTAACAGACGCTTTAAGGGTCTCAAAATAATTAGTCAACTTCACGTAAATTCTGACGCTCCATTTTTATATATGTTCATCCGACAACTATTTTAAAAGCTTTGACAAGAAGACAGACCGATCCAAGGGCCAATCATCCCCTAAACTAAATTTTTAATATCTCTATGAGTGAGAGAGCATTATCTACGCGCATGAGACTGAGTGAGACCGACTGCGCTGTTAAAGCCATGAAAATTACTTGAAAAATTATTATTATTCAAAGGAGGGCAAGCAAAAGCCGTTTAATATTTTGAAGAAAAATGAAGAGTACCAACAAAGCATTTCACCGTTTTTGTACGTTGGATTTTGTTGGTGATGTAGATGAAGAAGAACGTGTATTCAACAAATACAAAAATTTATCTGTGATGTTTACAACGTTCCTGGAATAATTGATGTAGATGCTGCCAGACTACAGTTTTTATCATTTACATACATGGTATCTGATATAAATGAAGAATTCAATCGAAAGAATTTAAGAAACTTCGAGCCAGTAACTTACCACCTTGTAAAAGTGAGCTTTGGCAACAGTTTCGACGGGCTAGCTTTGGAAAATGCAAGTATGAAGATGAAAATATTTATACCCGAAAACAAGCCAGCCATTGTTTTCGGGGTTGAAAACTACAAGATGGTAAATATGATTTTCAACTACAAGATGGTAAATATGATTTACCACTACAAGATGGTAAATATGATTTTCATCGGTTCGATGGAGATCAGATTACCGGGTTTTGTCAGTGAGTCGTGGAAGAACTCAGGTAAATTATTTTCGTTTCTCATATTATTTGTATCTTTTTAGTTTTTCAGACCTTCATTGTTTAACTTGTTTTTTACAGAGGAAGAAAATAAGGAAATGCTGATATGACGATCACGATTTGATATTCAATTTCAAGATTAATTTGATGATGAGATAAAAGATTAAAAGCCACTGTTAAGAAATATTGAAGAATTAATATTTTTCCACTTTATTTCCAAATTTCCAATAAATAATTAATTAAAAAAATTGTGTATTTAAATATATGTATTTTAAAAAAATATTTTTAGTTCTAATTAATAAATTGAAAAAAAAAAAAAAATGTCGGCTAACTTTAGTATTATTTATGTTGCTATAATTTACTTGTCAACAAAAGTTCTAAAAATTATAAAATATCTGTTCAAGTAATTTTCATGGCTTTAACAGCGCAGTCGGTCTCACTCAGTCTCATGCGCGTAGATAATGCTCTCTCACTATAGAGATATTAAAATTTAGTTTAGGGGATGATTGGCCCCTTGGATCGGTCTGTCTTCTTGTCAAAGCTTTTAAAATAGTGTCGGAGAAAATATAAAATGGAGCGTCAGAATTACGAGTTGACTAATTATTTTGAGACCCTTAAAGCGTCTTTAGCAATATGGCCGACGGAAAGGTGGGAGTATTGACAATTTATTTTTAACTATACACTCGAAAACATATATAAAAATCAGATAGAATTTACGTGAAGTAAGTAATGTTTTGTGTACCTTGATTACCTGATTGAAATTGGCCGTTTGACCAAGTAGCAGGTAGGCATACGATCAAGTACATACTCACTACCAGTCCACATTTCATCCGTAGAAAATACGTGACGTCTGGCGGCCCTGGGTTTGCTCTAATACTACATTATTGATAATACGATAAATTTTTCCCCGCTCGTAACAAAACACAATTTAAGAGAATTTCCACAAACTGTAGAAGCGGTGACGTAGCAGTATATCCTTGTAAGGCAAGTTAAAACTTTGTAATTTATTCCGTTCCGTGTAACTTGAAGGCATCTTATGAAGAATCGCCTGTCAAGAAATCTAAAACTTTTCAACTCTACACTATTGATATAAGACTTTGCTTTTAAAGTGTTAATTTTAACACATAAAATCAACATATACTTAGGGTTTAAGATATTTATTTCTCCCTAAGATTATTACAAACAGATTATTAAGAGCAGTGTTGGTTTAGTGGCTTCAGCGTGCGACCCTCATCCCTGAGGTCGTAGATTCGATCCCCGGCTGTGCAGACTGAGCTTCCCTTTTATGTGAGCATTTAACATTCGCTCGAACGGTGAAGGAAAACCGGCTTGCCTTAGACCCAAAAAGTCGACGGCGTGTGTCAGACACAGGAGGCTGATCTACTTGTCTATTAGGTTGAAAAATGATCATGAAACATATACATAAATCTGAGGCCCAAACGGAAAAAGGGTTTAGCGCTACTGATTTGTTTTAAATTGAAATGATGAATTCAAAACATATTGATGATCCTTTGAAAAAACATGATCAAAGAATGTCGTACGAGAAGTTAAATTGTTTCTTTGTTCCCAGTCGCTGCTCATAGTGACATACCACTGTACATTGGTATTGCGGTAGCTGTGGTGGTGTTCCTAGCTGGTGCTGCGGTACTTTACAAGCTTCTACAAAGGAAGACTAGGGACCATTCACTCTACACCATGACTAGAACAGGTAATGGATATTTCTTTAGCTTTAATAAACGCGATTATTTTGCCTCCTGTTATATGGAGGCAAACGGGCAGATGGCTCATCTGATGTTTAGTGATACCGCCGCCTATGGACACTCAATACCAGAGGGTTGGCGAGTGCGTTGTCGGCCATGTAATTTATTACATAACTGGACGTTTCGAGTGCTTTGCATTTGTGTTCAGCTAGATACTGTATTGAAATTTTACCATATTGACGGGGGGGCGGACCCCACATTAATTATTGACATATATTTATTTAGCTACCGAAGTTCAAGATTAAGCTTAATATATAACTTTTCAATTAATTTTTAAAAAACAACGACTGTTTTTGCCAATAGAAAGGTACTTCCTGTTTTGTTAAAAGTTTTATTTCTATGAAAGTTCAGTTCTATAAACGGACAAAGGAACATTTCAAATCACATCATGATTTAAAAAATATTTTTTATAATCAACAGACTTCCAACCAGAAATATACCCGACGGTGGAGAAGCAGTCCCTATCCCTGGGTCCAGATCTGATGCAGCACCGTCCGCCAAGATATGAGCATCCTCCTCCAGATCCACGGACGGAGCACCATTATGATGTGCCGCATTTGACTAATAGGTATGTGGCAAAAATTTATATTAACCGCCCAACGTATTTTTTTATTGCGCAATAACATAATAATTATTATATTAATTTTTCAGTTATTTTAGCTAAATTTTGTTTAATTACATAAAAAGAGTGACACGTATCCATCACATATAAAATATTTAAGTAAAAAGATATTCACAACTGTTCCACCTGCTTCGTACGAACACGAATTATCTGCGTAATTCGCCAAAGTTTCGGGTTTTAGCTAACTACAATACAATTTATGAAGACGTAGACATTCTCCGCCTTACCAAAGAGGGTGTGAGGAAATATTTTATAAAGCGGGAAAACTTTGACTTAGTAGTAACAATTTCTTTTATCTTAAAAATTTTAAGTTGCAGTTTGTTTTATTTCAGTTTTTTGTTTTATCCATTAATATACTTGACTATTTTTTTGTGTTTCGTATATTTTTTTTAATAATATAATCTGTTTTGGCTTTGTATATATTACTAGCTGATACGGCAAACGCCGTTTTGCCATGTATATCATTTATAATAAAAAATAGGGGTTGATCGTAGAGGGGTGAAAATTAGGGGTTGTATGTATTGTTTAATGTATCATAAAAAAATTAAAATTTATCTAAAAATTAAAAAATTAAATTAGGGGTTGACTACCCTTAACATTTAGGGGGATGAAAAATAGATGTTGTCCGATTCTCAGTTATACCCAATATGCACACAAAATTTCATGAGAATCGGTCAAGCCGTTTTAGAAGGAGTTTAACCACAAACACCGCGACTCGAGAATTTTATATATTAGATAATATGTATGTGTCGCTGTAAGATTACTTATAAATTAATAAACACCTCCCAACGGGCTAGGAACAAAACAAAAGATGCAAAATGTACCTGATTTAATAAAGACAAGATTTACCTGTACATGATAATTAAAACCAGAAATATTCCAGCTACGCATCACCAGTTGACCAGCAAGTGACCCCGTGCGCGTCCAGCAAAGGCCACAGCGATGAGTACGACACGAAGCCTTACAGCGAGTCAGAACATTCCGCCTCCAGCTGTTTCACCAGTTGTAAGTTGATATAGCATTCTTAAAAAACAAAAACATGTTTCATGTTCATTTGTCTATCTAATAGGCAAGTAGGTGATCTGTTTCCTGTGCCTGACACACGCCGTCGACTTTTTGGGTATAAGACATGTCGGGTTCCTCGCGAAGTTTTCCTTCACCTTTCGAGCGAATGTAAAATTCGCACATAGATAGAAAGTATATTGGTGCATAGCCGGAGATCGAACTAACGACTTCAAGGGTGATACCCGCACGCCGGCCATTAAGTCAAGGCTGCTCTATAGCATTCTTAATGTAATTTAATTTTTGTGAATAAAATTACTTTACTTCAGCAAGAAGATTTTTTAATTTAACAATTGATTTTTTGTATGAATCTCTGTGTGTGAATTCAACATTATTATAAGCTAATTCAATTTGTTGTAATACCTGGTTCGGTTCCATATTCCGTGTTTAATGAATCAATTATAAGATTAACTATGAAAATACTGTAAATTAAACCGTAAACAATTATTAAAAATTTTAAAACTATCTGGTATCTTCATACTGGTATATCCAGCAATTATGACAATAATTATATTGATGTTCAAACTCTTACCAATAAACATCACATTGCAATAACACGTTGATTAGTTTAACAATTTAATAAATAGAGTTTAAATACCAATAAATTCCTTATCTTTGCCACGAATCGTAAATTCACCCTTTCCAACTGATGTACGATGGTGAGTCACTCTCGCAACTATTGGAATTCACTAGACTCAATTATAGCCCCATCTAGTTTTATCTTTCATATTATTATGAGCACGTTTATTTCATTTCTCTTCAAATATTTAATAAATAAGTATTATAACTTTGATATATAGAATTATTAAAATATCTCTATATAAACAAATTATGCGGTAAAATATAGGTGCTAGAACGTACCCCAACAGGGCTCAATATTTTTTTTCGTGTCCTATGGCTAACATAAATTATATATAACAAAACAATTATACTAAAGACGTAGCTAAAGATCGAATACATAATATTTATAAAAAGTGCAACACTTAACGAAACATCTCCTACATGCGTTTTGTTCGAGAATATTAAGTACGTGTTATCACCATGCCACCTGCTGATAAGGACAAAACAACGTTCTTAATTTATGTTATTATATTTATTACTTAACATATTATGTGGAACATGGTGTAATGGATGAGCGCTTTACCAACGTGTAAAAGATAAAACTTTGATTAAAAGAGTGCGGAGAGTTTATTTCATACTTCCTTCCGTTAATGCCCTTGATTTATATAAACAAAAAATTTTATATATGTATGGTTAAGTTCATAAATTTATAAAAAAGAAAACATTAACTGAGGACTTTGAACAAGAAAAAATGATTTTGAGTTCGATATTTTATTTATGTTTTACAAGCGTTTTGTCTAATATCCTGTCCATTGCAATTTCTTATAATATTTTTGTTCCAGCTGGCTCAATGTACGACGCGACAAACGAATCCGTCACATTACAATTAGCGGAACTGGTTTCTAATTCACCCACTTCCCAATCGTTATCAGTGTCGAGTTCTGGAGCCAGACTTTCGCTACCAGCTGGGGTCGCTCTTTCGATACCAGAAGGAGCGCTTGGTAGAGGACGTCGTGAACAAATATACGTCGCCGTTGTCAAAGATGACAGATACAGAGCGAGACTTGGAAAAGGTATGATATTTTTATATATAATATTATATAGCTGCCTTCACGAACTTCGTTTCGCCTTAATATGTTATTTTTTTTACTTTCACCTTTATTAGCCCATACCTATTTAGTAGCTCCACTATGCCAATTTCCGAAAAAAAACCTAAGGAAAAATTTTCTATGCCCTGATAGGGAATACAGAATAAAAATAAATAAGTTCTAAAAAACACGCTTTTCAAAGCAAAACAAACTAAAAGTGAAAATATTATTTTTTAAATTTATAAAAAAAAAAAATGGGGTTTTTTGGAAAAGATGGGTTGCTCGGAGAGAAAAATATGGCACGGTGTGCCCCATCCTACAGTTCAAGAAATATAAAGCGTGTAAAAAATACTCGCAGTCCAGTCGAGGTTTGCACTTAGTACCATATTTATTTACAAAAAAAATAAGAGTTGATCGTAGAGGAGTGGAAATTTAGGGTTGCATGGTAATGCCACATAATAATAAAAAAAATATCAAAAAATCCAAAAGTTCAGTTTTTTCTGTCTTAAAACAATACATAGGAATCTACTAATAAGTTTAATAGGTATCTTTTTAGACTATAAATAATCTCGATTCGATCAGTTTTAATGGACGAAATTTTATAAATTGCCATGTGGAGACTATTAAATCCAATATTTGTTTAGTGCCTATCATTAAAATAAAAAACCACATCCGCGAACAATTTAACCGATCCGTAATTACAACAAAATCGAAGTAGCAATTTATGTAAAACTCCGAAGCCCAAGGCGTAACTTGAAATCATTTTTGCCCGCAGGTATCACGCAACTGAGTCCAGTAGTTAAATGTGGCCCGCCTAGACTTCAATTAAACAAGTCGGTTATATTACAAATACCGCATTGTGCGAGCCTGAAGCACGGCTTCTGGAACCTGGCTCTTTACGCCATAGACAATAACAAAGACAACGCACAGCCTCATTGGAAGAAAATCGTCAACCTTGGCCAAGAGACAATCAACACTCCGGTCTTCACCCAACTCGACACCGACAAAATATTCCTAGTGACCGATATGCTATCCACATTCGTTTTAGCCGGGGAAAGTTTTAATGGAAAGGCCGTGAAGGCACTCCAATTAGCCGTGTACGCCCAACCCACAATTAATGATTCATGCACCGAGTACACTATCCGTTTCTATATATTCGAAGATACCCCGTGCGCCACTTATTACTGTCAAGAACAGGAAAAGAAATCGGGCGGAGTTCTATTGGAGCGACCGAAAACGTTGCTATTCCAAGACGGCGGATCCAATTTATGTTTAACTTTGGAGCACGTCAGCCCCGGATGGAAAGCGAGACCGGGCGCAGCGTACCAAGAAATACCTTTCGGCCACATTTGGGCGTCGAGCTACAACGCCCTGCACTGCAATTTCACGTTAGACCGATCATACGACTGCGACAATATCGACTTCACTGTATCCGCCTGTCAAAGGACGAATCCCTCGTACAAGCAAACGTTCCGAATAGCAATCGACGATCTGACCCATTCACCGAGAGGACGCTCGCCGCGCGTAGACGCTAGGAATTTCAATATCACAGAAAATTTGCTTGAAACGCGAATGTGCCGGAGCGAGACGAGCGACGACGGAAGCGTGAAACGGAACGTCACCGTAAACGAAGTTGGGGTGAACGAGACCGACGGTCCTTTTAAGTTGAACGTCAGAATCAAACGTCAACTGTGCTCGATTCTGGACCCTCCGAACGCTAGGGGCAACGATTGGAGGGCTCTGGCGAGCAGACTAGGGGTCGATAGGTACACCACGTGGTTTGCGACTAAGAGTTCTCCTACCGAGGCTATTTTGGAGCTATGGGAGTGTAGAGAGCGAGGCGCCGCCGCGATATCTTCGCTGGCCACCGCGCTTCGGCAGATGGACCGCCACGATGCAGCAGATCTGCTGCAGAACAGGCCGTCTTGGTTATGAATTGTGACTTAATAATAGAGGCTTCGAACAAAGGTATGGGTTTTCTATGTTGTATGTAAAGGGCGGAAGTATTGACGCGTTGCTAATTATTGTGTAGTTTAAATGTTACTTAGAGTATCGGCCATTGGCCTTGTAAAATCGTGGTAGTTGTCAAACTATCGATGCTGTAGATAAGCGGATAAATTATATAGTAGCAATAATAGTGCCTAATCTTTTAAAGAATGTCGCCGTTTGTCGGTTGTTTTGTTACTTTTATAAGCGTTTGAGTGTTCATTGTATTGGAATATTTCGATTTAGTTATGCTTTGTTTTATGTACGTAACTATTAATTCTGCATTTTAGTATTCGTTAGTTGTCTTTTGTTTAGGTTGCCATAGTGACACCGCCATTTTGAACGCGTTGCTATGGCAACTTGTAAGCTCGTAGTTACGTAAAATTAGATACGTGCCAAAATAGTTTTTTGGCAAATTAAACGCACTATTCCGAGCTTATTGTAAAAATTGTTTATTATAAGACTTAAATGCATTTACTACAATGGGTTATGACATTAAAATTACATTTTAACTGGGTTTATGATAAAGATTGACTAGTAATGACATACCTATTTACTATGAAACAATACATAGGAATCTTTTAACTCCACCTGGAAGGGAAGTTTTCTAAGGCATATTTCGATTCAAAATATCTTGAACATTGTCAAATATGTGTGTGAAACTTAAGCTATTTTTTAAAAGGAAGGTAACCGCTCGCTGAATTTAACTATTTTTTTTATAATCAATGCAATTTTTTTTTAATTTAATGAATTAACTCCTTCTGGTGCCACTTTATTGCTAAGAGTTGGCTGTTAACAACTTGAATTGCCAAGTATCTTGCGGATGTGATGTCGGTCTACTTACAATGCAACCACGGCTACCATCTACCAACCCATCTCTTGCTTTGAATCATTTATCCATCATTGTTTCTGCAACAAAATAAGATTATGACGGATAACCTGTCCGAAATATACTTATGTCCTATTTCCTATTTATTCCCACCAGGCGGTGTTAAAAATTCCAAAAATTATGCTTATGCAATTCACCAAGCGTATTGTCATTGAAGTCATTACTATCTGCAGGGTTACTCTGTTACTGTAATTTCGATTGATAAATAAATTCAATTTTCAATACCACGTAAATTCATCTTGAGCTATATCAAGAAATCCATCAGCTTTTATTGAACTACTTCGAAATTGACGTCAATACGAATTATGAAGTTTTACAGAGTAGCCCTGCTGATTGGCAATTATTACATTACTGCAAAAATCTTATACTTCGAAAGGCCACACTGCCGACATAGTACGTAATCACTATATTAAGTTTTAAAGACTAAAATATCGTAATGTTATCGAAAAATTGTATAATTTTATTTTGGATTTCTTTATATATACCCGACGTAGTTCCTGTATGTATATATTTTTATATATAAAAAGTGATGTCGATACGAAATTCTTCATTTCTTGTGCACTCAAAAATTATATAATTATGGTAAATAGTATTTATAATGAAACATTTCTGTATCAGTAACGAGGTATATGTATTGGAGATTATAGTATCATAGTAACACAGAACAGTACTAGAGTCTGTGTGAAAATGGAACAAAAACACAAAACATGTGATTTCTGTAGATCTAATAATCCAACACAGACTTCGAATCCCACGACAGTTTGCTTTAGTTCAAACAATTTATGTATGACTCAAAACTTGGTGATTAAAAAGAGTGGCAGAGAGTTTCTTGCCAGTTCTTCTAGCCCGCTCTACGCCCTTGACATGGGAACTGGTAGCAAATGTAAATTTAGAATTAATTTAACTTCTTTTCTTACGTTCATAAGTGTACTTGGTTACATATATGAATTGAGTTATTTTGTGTTTGAGTTCCCTTTCAACACAGGCTGTGTAGGCGGTTTAAATTTTGTGTAAAAAACATGTCGATAATAACATAGTTTCATACTATGACACCTAAATCACTTTTTATATGTAAAAAGAAATGTAAATAATTTAACACGTAGTAAAAATATAACCAGAATTTGTATAATAAAATCCTCACCGCTGTAGACTATATATTTTTGTTAACGTGATGACTATTAAATAAATGGATCTGTGATAATTAAAATAATATGAAATAAATTATGTTTAACTGTGTATTTTGTCGTTTTATTTTTAAATTCTCTGTCTAGTTAATAGTTAAGTCTGGATAACACTAGGATAACTCTTGTTTTTACGGGCCTTTCTTCTCAAAGAAACTTCCTTTCTTCCAAAAGAAATTTATGCTAGTTAATAATAATAAACGCTCATCCACCATAAACTTTTTACAAACAAAACACTTTTTTATTAAAAGAGAATGTTGAATTGCCACGACTTGCATACATCCTATATATTTAATAATTCTATACGAGTATTATATCCGGGTTTGATGACTTCTGAATGCCTTAAAAAGTCGGCAGAGTACTCGGCTACATACAACCCTTTCAAAGGCAGAGAACAAATTTAAATTTATAGAAATACTACTATTTACAGTATACACCTAATATATACCGAGGCCCGCTTTACAATAAAAACCTGCGCTTACTAAATCCAAATTTTATAAACTATTGTAGATTATATTTTATCGAACCTACATGACTTAAAACTAAATGAGGAAATTGTCTATTTGTGATAGGCATATAGATTGGACTCCTAACCCTTGCCACGACTTGCTCACAATTCCAATAGAGTTTAAAATAAGGGGAAATGTTCAAGTACAGATCCAGCGTTCTCCATACCTTATAGTGCTCGAGTTACTAATAGGAGTAAGACCACGCTGTTTACCCCTTTAATTTACTGGAGATTTTTAAACGAGGCCAGTATTCTACGAATTCAAGAAGACCCTTCTAGGTACCCTTACCTATAGATTCCCCAACCACACATCTGATTTATTTATATTCTGATAATTGCGAAATTAAATAAAATATTACGGCCTTTAGGCACTGATTTCATATGTCTATGTAGTTTTTAGCCAGTCCTACGGTTCGGTCATGTTAATCTAGTCTCAGGTTTATTCAAGAATTTAAAAAAAAATAGTTAAGATGAGAGATGTTAAGTGATATCGCCACCCATAGACTCCTCAATGCTAGAGGGCTCGCGAATGCGTTGCCGGCCTTTTAAGATTGGCCTTGGTACGCTCTTTTCTTGAAGGACGACCCCTCCTGTCATCTACTAAACAATTTAAAAAAATATATATATAACATACCTTGTGTTTTAGACATTATGGTACAATGTACGTTTACATGTCATGTATTTCAGATCTCAAGGTTTGAGTTTCTTTGACGTTATGTTTTTAATAAGATACAGTTTTGTATCTGTGTCACCTCGTAACATTTACAAAATACATAAAATGTAACAAACTCAGGACAACAAAACCTACGACCATTTGTCAACTGTCACATTTTTACAAAACCGTACTCGAAAGAAAGAGTGTAGTAAATTAAAAGTAAACGCAACAACAATGCGTTTGTACGCATGTCAGTGCGCAGGTGTATCACTATGCTGTGACTAATTGTTGAAGGTGTGGCCGAAGTAAGGGCGACTTTATAAAACGTGTTTCTAAGCCGATTTTATTATTTTCTTTTGGGGTCGGATTGGCGCATTTCGTACTTTGGTCACACAATACGTATGGGCGACGAGAACATAGAGAAGCTCATCATAACTGGCAACACCGAAGGCAACCGGGCGCGGACATTCGCCAACAAGATGGACTGATCAAGACAAAGACTCGTCGCCATCAAAATTATAGACAATTGTAAAAGAAGCCCAGGACGGATTGTCGCGCCAGAGAGATACTATTTATATACACGCTAATATCAAGTGCATTTTAAATAAATAGGTTTGACTAATATCTGTACATCGAAGTGTTAGTAAATCATCTCATCAATTCAGATGGTTCATTAAGAGATCTTAAATAAATTTGAGTTGTAGGTGAGTTAAATGTCTGGGACATAGACCACTTCATGTGGTAAAAAAATACAATAAATGGCTAAATAATCTATCGTATTTTTTTATTTATTTATTACTATTCTTACAGCCAACATACATATTATGAAGCCAAAACAGATTACATGGATAAACAATATATATGAAACCGAAAACATAAGTTCGTTAATACAAAAATTCATTGTAGTGTGCGTGTGTACCGATAACTTTGACGGAAACTTGCACACATATACATACTATAAACGGTTAGGAGTGACAGTAGGGAGGTAGGTTAAGGAAATCATTTAAAAAATGTCAGAATACCGACAATTTACAGAAAACTCATACCTTCTCTTACTTTATATTAGCAATTATTATATTACATTAAAAATATATTAATTAATAGCCATAAAATAGCTGCATCATGATTCTACCATAGGCTTCGACATATCTAAATGCATTACATAATATTTAGAACTTTCACATCGCTAACAAAACCGCTGCATCTTGTAGTACAGTCCCACTTTATTTTTGGGAATAAATTAGAATATATTATAGAACCATTTGGCGTGGCAGTTATCCAGGTGCAGTTAACATAAATACATCACTTTTGCTGTGAAAAGACCAAAACAATATAAAATATGCTCGTGGAGATTACTATGTACTTATTCTAATGGGATTTTTAGTCATTTTATAACAATAAAAATATTTATGAGTTAACTGTGACCATTAAAAAAAATTAATGGCGCAGATTATCTTTTGCATGATCATTTGTCAATCTAATAGGCAAGTAGGTGATCAGGCTCCTGTGCCTGACACACGCCTTCGACTTTTTAAGTCTAAGGCGAGCCGGTTTCTTCAAGATGATTTCCTTCAAAGTGCATTGGTGCACAGCCGGGGATTGAACCTACAACCTCAAGAGATTCGCACGCTGAAGCCCCTAGGCTAAAACTGCTCAATGGCAAACATACAGAAGTAAAACAGAATTTCAAAATTATCTAGCTATTGATACATTTTC